CTTTTTTAACGAATTTAGCTATGTACTGAAGTTAAATCCTTTTCTGGTTTTGTTTTATCCCTTTCTCTTTTCTTCCTTCAATATTGTGTTACCGTCATTTCCCCGCACACCCTACCAACGGTCCCCTATACCTCCATCAATTGTACGACACATCCACTACCTCTCTAAGGGTGAAGGCAGCCTGGGTACTGCCTTCGTCGTCATCCCCCAGCCCGTTCTACCCAAACTGTCTCTGTCAACTGGCTAATTCAAGGAGGATGATGCTCACTCGAAGGGACGGACGCGAAGGAGGAGGCGCATCGAGCTAGAGGCCTTGGCATCGCCTCCCCCCCACCCCCAACTTCACATCAACGCTCAGCATCACCGACATTGCACATATCTCTGACAAGATTAGTTGATCTCTAACTTTGATTTCTCATACGCAGACGCAAACAGAGCCATAGCCCTCCCTGTACTCGGCCAGGCAGCGCAGTTTTAGTGAGATTCGAAAAAAACACCAATGTGTCGTGTTATATATTTTCTCTTTTCCTTGTATCATTGTTCTTTCCTTTATTTCCAAATTGGTTTTAATAAATACTAGAGTATTTGTATTTGCTTGAAAACACATTTACGTGGAAAAACGAGAAACTACATTTTATGCTGTTTGTATAAATGGCTACAGCTTAAAATTGGAGTAGTCTCTCTTTGTCCAAATATCTTTACGAACAGTTTACAAAAAATGAAATTGTTGGTTTATGAGCGCAGGTAGTCACGATAGTATATATGGCATATGGTATTTAATATTAGTAATATACAAATTAAACATTAAGTTATTGCAATATCTTCTTTCTTTACGCACACACACACATACCTATATCTATATCTGTCTATCAATCTACCTACCTATTTGTCTATCTATCTATCTATTTATTTATCTATCTATATATATGTATATATATCTATCTAATATCTATATATCTATATATCTATATCTATATCTATATATATATATATATATATATATATATATATATATATATATATATACATATATATATATATATATATGTATACATATATATATATATATATATATATATATATATATATATATATATATATATATATATATATATATATATATATATATATGTGTGTGTGTGTGTGTGTATGTATGTATGTATGTGTGTGTGTGTGTGTGTGTGGTGTGTGTGTGTGTGTGTGTGTGTGTGTGTGTGTGTGTGTGTGTGTGTGTGTGTGTGTGTGTGAGGGTGATTGTGTATGTGTGTGTAAATAAATAAATAAATATATATATATATATATATATATATATATATATATATATATATATATATATATATATGTATATATATATATATACACATACGTATATGTATATATATATATATATATATATATATATATATATATATATATATATATATATATATATATATAAATATATATATATATATATATATATATATATATATATATATATATATATATATATATATATATATATATATATATATATATGTATATATGTGTATATATATGGAATTATATATATATATATATATATATATATATATATATATATATATATATATATATATATATATATATATATATATAATATATATATATATATATATATGCATATATAGATAGATAGATAGATAGTTGTATATACATATATATACATATATTTACACATATATATATATGTATGTTTACGTATGTGCGTGACTGTGTGCACATATAAAGTCAACAGAAAAAACACCCTTGCGAGTCGCTAAAAAAATGTCCTCCGACATACGGCACCATCATCAAATCAAATGCATTAGTTTCAGCAAAGTTTTCACATCAGCCGAAAAAGAAGCTACGGTACATTTAAAGTTAAATTAGTTTTAAATGGCAAATTCTAGGATATAAAACAGCTATGAATAGTTTAACATTCCCTAAACAAAGTTAAGAGTTAAAATTCAGAAGAGCGTCATATTAAGAAATCATAACCAACGGTATGAACAAATACAAACCGGCACGTAAACTTAAGGAGATATATCTTGCACCAAATAACCTAGACGTTGAAACTAGAATGATATAAATATTTGAAATTATCTTTAAATCGTACGAGAAAAACTGTGTGAGTTATTTTCCCAACACCATCATCAAATGACTCATATAGAAATAAATGTATCGCCTGAACGTTAGATTTAGAAACCGTATTATGACAATTTCCGAATTCCCATCTCGTTGCAGCATTTACAATTTGTGCAGACGCCGAGACGCCCTCATCTTCCGGACACAATAACATGTATTAGGGAAAAGTCCTTCGCTAGCCAGTGTTACCAATTCCTCGCGACAACTTTCCTCCTCGCTGTTACCACGCTGGTGCATTGTTTCTGATATGCTGGACCGCCATTATCTGTTTTTGTTTTGCTTTGTTTCTCTTTCTTACTCTGCACTCATGAATGTAGAAATAACGTAGTGAATGCAGATTAGTACGTCATTGAAT